GCTCTCGCTCTATGAGCTCTCAGTCTGTGCACTCTCGCTCTGTGTGCTCTCAGTCTCTGCTCCAAAGAGAGCGCTCAGGAACATGCCGCAGCCCCATTTCTTCCTCCCCGTGTGTTCTCTAACCTGACAAATGGAACTTCATAATAGGTTCTTTCTCTCCCACCCTCCAGGTGTCCTGACATTAGTTGGTTGACCTTGAAGCCGTAACCATGGGAAGCGTACTGTGGTCCTATTGTAGCGCTCTCGGCTGCTGTTGATGGAGAGGAAGCGGCCTTGTTAGCAGTTTCCCTGCCTGCTGCCTTGTGCACCCCGCTTCACGCCATCTGCACACATCACCATGGATGGTGCAGGGCAGGGTGGCCTCTTAGAGTCCAATGGCGGCACCTCAGTGAGCACCAGTACCCTCCCAGAGCCTCCAGACTCATCGGTGCAGCCTGACAGGCAGGTCACAGCTTGGGGTAAGTCACAAGTCTGCCAGCTTTCAGCTCCAGCAGAGGACTGATGTTTCAGACCCCCCGTGAACGCTCCTTTAGTTTAAGAGTATTTTTAGTTGTGTTTGCTTTGAAGTACTCTTGACTTGGTTACAGCTCGTTTCCAAGGAGGGACTGGTGGGTATGTTCCACCAACCCTGTGGTTAGCATTCCACTGCTTACTCTACAGTGCCACACCAGGACCCCCTTTTAGCCGTGGCATGAGTGTTATTTCACAATCAAAGGTGGGAAGAAAGGATGTTGACCACATCTGCGTTTCCAAACCAGCAGGCAAAATGCAAGGGTGTGTCGGAGCACCGTGTTGGGAGACTGCCGTACGTGGTACACTGCAGGTCCTGGGAACATGGGGTGGACAGGACAGAAGTTCCAGCGGAGGGGACGGCACAGCAGTTTGAGGGAGGTCACAGTACAGAGGTTTTGGGGAGTGGTATAGTAGCACTGTGGTTCAGGGACAGAGTAAGTGATGAGAGTAAGTAGCTGTCTGTATTCGTTGGGATTCATGTTTGCACATTGCGAATGACAGGAGTCCACCTAGAGTCAGCTGAAGCAGAAGGGTCTTTCTTGGATGTGTACTGTGTGTGCCTGGCCTTGGCTGGACCTTGGAGCCACTGCTGGCACAAACTGGAGCCCAGGATGTTCAGTCAGTCTCTTCTCCCCCAGCACCTTCGTGTGAGGCTTCGAAAGTGAGGGGGCAGGAAAGACTAAAAATAACTCAACTGTCAAAAGTCTTTCTTCCCTTTTTTCTTTTTGGTGAAGAATACGTCTTGCTGTAGTAAATACTCTCATTTGTAAGAACGTTGGCAGGTGGAACTGAGTGGATACTAGCGGACGCTGGTCCCTCTGGGGCCAGCCAAGAAGCACTTCTGAGTTCTGTGCTGAGCTTTGCTGGTTGCGCAGATCTAAAGATTCTACCCCCTGGGATTTCTCTCTGGAGGCAGACGCCTCTGCCCACAGTACCCCTGGAGTCTGCCCTCCGTCCCTGGTAGGCCAGCTTGGGGCAGCCTGCTCCATTGCCAGTCTGTTTTCTTTTCCTGTTGGTGTCTTACATAGACCATCTTGAGGTTTCTTGCTGATTGTTTGTAAATGGAAGGGAATATTCGTATTTGAATCCCACAGCCTTAGGTAGGCCATTAGCCCAGGGTGGTGATGTGACCTGTCCAGTGGACCTGCTGTAGGGTGGATGGCCTAGGGCTACCTTCTCTCCGAGGTAGCATGTTTGTAAGACATGAAAACTGCTTTGTGGTCACATGTGCAACTGCCTTTTTGTCCTACTTTAGTTGAGTGTTTGAAAAATGACGTGATATTGTTGAAACTGGAATGCCCACAACTGTTTGATTTTTTTTTTTTCCCCCCCAGGTGCCAGTGGAAAAGCAAACACAGTTCCTGGTGAAGGAGAAAGCCTGGAAGTGCCCACTCAGGGCTGTCAGAATGGGCTGTTGCCACCCTGTCCCGGCCCCGCGCTGGCTCTTGACCCCATCACTCACCCAGTGGGTGCTGACTTGGATCCAGGTGTGCCTGGTTCCCATGACAACCTCAGGAAGTCTGAGGGCTCTAGTGCTGAGGGCAGTGTTAGCAAAGAAGCTTTGCAGTCTCTCAAACTAAGTCTTCCTATGCAAGAAACGCAACTGTGTAAGCATCTGTTCCCCGTCTCGTGCTCCATGTTCTCCCTCAGCCTCTGCTCACAGCCGGCCTCCTGGAGACCCATAGCCATTCCTGTGTTGTTATGTGGTGGGTGTGAGTGTGATGGGATTGTGTCTCTGTAAACTGTGGACATGTACTTGTGTGAAGCCAGTCGCCATGGGACAGTCTGCAGGCAGACAGGTCAGCCTGAAGACACTCTCTGAGTTTTTCCTAAACACTGACCACATGCTGATCGCAGGGCCTTTTGTGTCCTCATTTGTCTGCCCGCTCCCTCTAGCTCAGCCTCTGAGGCCTCAGATCACACACCAGAGAATTTGGCCATTGTTTTCAAAATGAGGTTGTGCTCTTCCCATCAGTGTATGTTTTTTACTCAGCATTGTTGCATGGAAATTCCTTCAAATTCCTTTTTTGACAGCCGTGCCCTGGGCACTGTCCTCCTACTCTCTGAGCTTCTAGCCAGTGACCTGTGACACCACATGTCCTGTGAGTCCCAGCTGTCTGCTGAGCTGGACTCCCTGAGACAGCGGGCGGCTGGTCTCCCACACCTTCTCTTGTTTTCATGTTCACCTGTTGGACAGTTGCAAAGTGGCATTTCATTACTACTGTAATTTGCTCATGCCTACCACCAATGAATTTAATCATATTTTATCTCTGGCTGTTTGGACGTTCTGTCTGTGAATTATCTGCTCATGTCTTTGGGCCATTTTCCTTATAGGTTGTCTTTTTCTTTGCAAGCATGATTTTGTGAGGTCTGCCGTGTGGTTTAGGGAGTCAAGAGGTTCCATGAGGAAGCCTGGATTTCTTATTCTAACACTGGTCCCCTCTTGTTCATATTCTCGCCCATGTGACACCACACAGAGCCCCTTCTGGATGTCCCTCCACTTGCTGCAAACTTGCATCACCGGTTCTAACCCAGCCCACTCTGCTCACTTAGTGGCCTGCTGGACACCTGTCGGCCCTGAGTGCCGTCTGCACCGAGTTAGTCTCACCAGAGGTGTGCGAGGTCTTTTCAGTGACAAAAAAATACTCAAGTTAATGAAGATCTTGGTACATTTCTAGTGAAATTCCTGGTGACTGTTCTAGAAGGTTGGAGTTGTTTAAAACTCCTGCTACTTATCTCCTGAGATCCCACCTGGGGTTGGTGGCATAGAGACAGTGTGACCACAGCATTCTGCAGGACCCTCAGCTGCTGTGCTGAAACCGGAAATCAAAATGACGTTCTGGTTTAGTAACCATATGCTTTACACTCAACTATGTGACCGTTCAAGCTGGATTCAGAAGAGGCCGTGGAACGAGAGATATCATTGCTGATGTCCGATGGATCTTGGCTGAAAGCAGAGAATATCAGAAGGATGTTTACCTGTGCTTTATTGACTACGCAAAGGCTTTCGATTGTGTGGATCATGACGAGCTATGGACAACATTGAGAAGTATGAGTATTCCAGAACACTTAATTGTACTTCTAAGAAATCTGTACCTAGACCAAGAAGCAGTTGTTCGAACAGACCATGGGAACACTGAATGTTTTAAAATTGGGAACAGTGTGAGACAGGGTTGTATTCTTTCACCATACTTATTCAACCTGTATGCTGAGCAAATAATACGAGAAGCTGGGTTCTATGAAGAAAAACGTGGCATCAGGATTGGAGGAAGACTCATTAACAACCTGTGATATGCAGATGATACAACCTTGATTGCTGAAAGTGAAGAGGACTTGAAACATTTACTTATGAAGATTAAAGAGCACAGCCTTCGATATGGATTACATCTCAATGTCAAGAAAACAAAAATCCTCACCACTGGACCAATAAACAACATTCTTATCAATGGAGAAAAGATTGAAGTTGTCAAGGACTTCATTCTTCTTGGATCAACCGTCAATACTCGCGGAAGTAGCAGTCAAGAGATCAGACGACGTATTGCATTGGGCAAATCTGCTGCACAGGAACTTTTTAAAGTGTTGAAGAGCAGAGATGTCAGCTTGAGGACTAGGGTGCGCCTGACCCAGGCCATTGTGTTTTCAATAGCCTCATATAGATGCGAAAGCTGGACAGTGAATAAGGAGGATCGTAGAAGAATTGATGCCTTTGAGTTGTGGTGTTGGAGGAGAATACTGAAAGTGCCATGGACTGCCAAAAGAACCAATAAATCTGTTTTGGAAGAAGTGCAGCCAGAGTGCTCCTTGGAGGCCAAGATGGCTAAGCTTCGTCTCTCCTACTTTGGACATATTGTCCGGAGGAAACAATCGCTGGAGAAGGATGTCATGCTGGGTAGGGTGGAGGGTCAGAGAAAAAGGAAGACCCCCAACGAGATGGATCAGCCAGGTGGCATCATTGATGGCGTCAAGTGTGGCAGCGGTAGTGAGGTTGGCCGAGGATCGAACATTGTTTCGTTCTGCTGTGCATGGGGTCGCTATGAGTCGGTTCTGACTCGATGGTACCTGACAACAACAACAATGTGACCGTTTTAAAACTCAAAATAAATGACTTGAGAAGTATGTATTAATTCTGTTACTGACTTACTGTTAAGTGCTGTGATGTTGGTTCCGACTTGTAGCGACTCTCTTAGGGTTTCTGAGGATCATCTGGTGGGTTTGAACTGCTGACCTTGTGGTTCACAGTCCAGTGCGGATCTACAGCACCATACCAGGAGTCTGTTAGTGGCTAATATTTTAGAGTTTCCCTCCTGTTACTGGGTGCAGCACCCGAACTGACTCTCGGCTCTTGGAGCGAGTCCCAGCTTGGTCATTTGGAGCTTGCCTCTCCAGCAGCATTATGCCTTCGGTACGTAGTGCATAGTCTAGATGCCATCCATCTACATCACTGTGTCAGGAAAGTGCTGTCACTTGCCCTCTAGCCAGCGTTGTCCCTGTCCACATTCCTGAATGTTGTGCCCTGGCTGTGCTCTGTATGTCCCAAGTGTTTCAGCTGTGACCACCCCTCATAAAGTCAGAGGGAGGACCTGTGTCACTCAGCATGCCCAGCCTTAGGAAAAGATGTCCATCAGCCTGTAAATTGTTTTTGCTATGAAAGAGCACATTTAAGTATCTGCTGTTGGGAAGCTGGACACCCATAGGCAGCAGTGTGCTGTGGACGAGTGCACGCAGCTCCCAGAAGGGCCCTTCCTGCTCAATGGCCGTGTTGTGTTTGGGAGCAAAGATCTATTGCAGAATGGTCTAGGTATTGTAGCTGATGTCTCTGCGCCTTGGCAGGTGCGTATTTTTCATCAACTTTCCCCCCTGCAGGCTCAGCTGGGGGGGCCTCTCTGCCCCTGGAGAGGGAGGAGCAGATCCGCCTCCAAGCGCGTAAACGGCTGGAGGATCAGCTCCGACAGTACAGAGCTAAGCGGCAGCAGGAGAGGGTGAGTCTCCCCCTGACAGCTGCTGAACACTCCGTGTGTGACGTGGCTGTGGGTCAGGCTACAGTGTCGGCCCCAGCGTCGGCTTGCTGGGTTCGTACAAACGTTAACAGCTCTTCTCGTTGCTCCTTTGTAAAATAAGGACGCTTCTAATTCATCAGAATATTTTTAAAAGTTGTATGTTTATCTGAAGGAGCTCTGGTAGCGTAGTGGTTACGAATCGGGCTGCGAACCTTAAGGTCAGCGGTTCGAAACTACCAGCCGCTCCGCGGGAGAAAGATGAGGCTTTCTACTCCCGTAAAGATTTACACCCTCGGAAACCCTGTACAGGGTCGCTATGGGTCGGAACCGACTCGACGGCACTTAACAACAACAACATGTTTATCTGAAAGGACAAGTTTGGAATAATAGAAAGTTTTGTAGCATGCGTTTGACGGGGAAGGTATTTTTCAGTCAGGATGATGGGAGGCATGTACGTGAGAGCCACCTTTCAACTGCTCAGCAGGGAGGTGGTCAGAGTGAGAAGTGAATGGTGGGACTAGAAACAGCTGTTTAGAATGGTAGTTTTAAAATGCTGTTTATCCATTTTAAACATGGTGTGTGTGGTTTTGTTTCCTTCTCAGTCTAGCCAACCGTCAGCTAAGACGAGACTTTTCAGCACACTAGACCCTGAACTCATGCTTCACCCGGAGAACCTGCCGAGGGCCAGTACTGTGGCCATGACCAAGGAGTACTCCTTTCTGCGCACTAGTGTGCCGCGAGGCCCCAAGGTGGGCAGCTTAGGACTCCTGGCACGCCCCAAAGAGAAAAAAAGCCCCAAATTGGGCAAGATTCGGTCTCTGGCTGATTATAGAGACACAGATGCAGACGCCGGGGACTCAGGTGGAGGCACCGCGGCCACTGGCCCCTCTCGGGGTTCTGTGAGTCGAGGGAGCGTGACATCTGTAGTGGCTGAAGCTGGTCTGCCGCTCGAGGCCGATGCCCATGTGCAGGATGCCTTACTGGCTGGAGACGACACTTCGGAGGCTGACGGCAGTGAGGTCGGGCTCCGGCTGGATGGTAACGACAGTGACAGTTCTTCCTACAGTGGCATCTCCACACGAGGGGCATGGGGCACAGCAGTGGACGCGACTCACAACCAGGACACATCCTACATGGTCAATGGCCAGGAGATGGCTGCAGATGCCCTGGGCCAGTTTCCTTCCATTAAGGACGTTCTCCAGGCTGCAGCAGCTGAGCGTCAAGAACAGGTGCCAGAGATCAATGGGGACATCCGGAGCCGCAGAGGCAGCCTGTCGAGCAGGTAGGTGGAGATACTGTGCCTGGAGATGTTGGTGGGAAGCCCTGACATCAGACTCTCCTCGAGTTCTCTCCTGTGTGAAGGCCCCCGTGTGACCTCATCTTCACCCACACCCCTTTCTGTTGGCACCATCAGCATTCCCTCCCAAGCAGTGCTGCTGCTTTGTTGGAATTGGTTCAGAATCAGCCATGCTGACGGCCTGTCTCCCATGGCACACAGAAGTAACATCGGCTTTACACCATTGTTTCATTGCAGTGATTACAATCTCCTCTGTGCATCATCATTCAACAGTATTTGATTACATTCCCTGTTGGGGTTTTTTTTGTTGTTGTTGTTTTTGGTGGGGGGCATGGGGATATACACAGAAACACTCAGGAATATATAATCATTTAAACAACCAAAGGGCACATTCTGCAAGCCTGCCTCCTGGCCGCCAGCGCTCACTCCCTCTCTTCCATGAGTCCAGAGTCCACAGCTGCCCTCTCTCTCCATGTCTTCATCTCTGCTTCCATCTCTGGTGTTGCTGCTTTTCTGGATAAGGTCTACATTCCACTTGTGCTCTTCTCTCTCTTTTTTTTTTTAATGTTTTATTGTGAATTATGTGATAGTTTACATGGGAGAACGTTAGTTTTTACATTCATTCTATCGTATATCGTCTCATTGCCATGGTTACAATCCCCTCCATGCATCATCAACCAACCAAAGGGTATACCCTACAGGCCTGCCCCCCCCAGTTGTCAGCACACAGTCCCTCTCCTTCTCAGGATCTCAAGTCTCCAGCTGCTCCATCTCTCCATGTCATTATGTCTGCCTGCATCTCAGGCATCACTGCTTCTCTGGGTAGGGTCCCGCTCTCTGCTCTTCTCCCTTGATGGCCGCAGGGATCTCCGCTCCTAGACTGCAAAGTTAATCACTCCCTTTCTTGCTACAAAACGTCTACCTTTACATTTCCAGCCCTCACAAGCAGTCCTGATAAATAGCAATTATTCACTATTTTATCACAAGAGACCTATCCACATTTCATTTCATCAGCCTCGCCTAGACAGATTGAATACTACTCAGTGGAGATTCTACCTTCCTTCATGCCCTCTGGATCTAGGTTCCCTCTTGAAAGCTTGTAAGCCAGGCACTTCTTGTCTTTGTAGGCCCCCCCATTTTGGGTAGCCAATATCCAAGTTGCCCATCCCTGTCTACTCTGTTTATAGAGGGGGAGTGGGAATGATCCTCGCTATAAACATTTGTTCCCTGTTTTGAGCTACTACATCCATAGGTGTAGGTCAAGTTCATCACATTGTATCAGATTCCTCTTTTCTTCCTCTCTGTCTTCTTCTGGTTGTGTGCTCTTCTCTATTGACGATCTTACAGTCCTCTGTTTCTGGACTGTCAGGTTAACTACTCCCCCATTTTTGTTACAAAATTTCTGCCTTCACAGTTGTGGCAGTCACAGTTAGCCTTGATAACAATTACTATTAAATCATAAGAATTTTAACCTCATCTCTTTTCACCAGACCCATCTAGAAAAGATGAAAACTATTCAGTGGGAATTCTAGCCCCTTTCCACCCCCACTGCACACTCTTAAACTAAACTCCCTCTTGAAAACTTGTAAGCCAGTCACTTTGTGCTTTTATCACCCCCTCATTTTAGGTATCCAGTGCCTAAGTTGCCTGTCCCTATCTACCCTGTATACAGAGGGGATAGCATTGATATTTGGTGTGAAGACTCCTTCCCTCTCAGTTGGTATTTTGAGCTACTACTTCAGTAAATATAGGCCAAGTTCTTCAAATTGTAGTAATTTGCACTCGTTTCCTTTATCAAAAATTGTTTTTTTATCTTCTTCTAGTCGAGTTCTGGTTACCAAGCCATCGAGGCTAGGTCACATGGGTACTGTCTGTAACTTTGGGTGTTCTTGTGCATCTCCCCTCACTTCGTATCAGCTGGATGCTTCACTCTCAGCTCTAGCCCTCTGTGGCTATGTCCTTGTTCACGGGCTCAGGTGTCCCCAGGTCTCACCACACTTTGGACCAACCAGCGCTTCCTCTTCTCTCTCTCATCTCCAGGTCAACAGGAGTCTATGGAATGTGGTTGAACTCAGCCCATTTCTTCATTGCTACGCTTACCCCTCTTCCACTCACCAGTAGACCAATGTGGTCATCAGCACGCTTACATGCCTGTTCATGTGTTCCCTTTGAGTTTCAGTTTTATAGGGGAGTTTGTCTTGAAGGAACCTGACTGCTTGCCTTGATTTCCTGGCAAACGCTTGTTCTTGTTGTAGCCAGTCATACTGCCATTTTTGTTTTGGGTTTTTCCTGATGATCTTTCTTTGAAGATGTATCTTCTGTTACTCTGTTTCAGGTTGGTTTACTTGTCCTTTCTAGTGGGATTGCCCCACCTAAGAAGGTTCTGGATGGGGCTCAGGATGCCACCTAAGGTCCTATACACTGCAAGTCTCCACAAGAGGCCTGTTTCACTGGGCAAGTTGTGGAACCCCTTTTAGGTATTCCAGTCAGTTATAGACTGAAGACGGGCCTTCAAGTTTTCTGTAATCATGTTTCCCAACATTCCTTTCTATCCCACTCAAGTGTCTATTTTACAACAATAGGCAAGGGAAACCAATATTCATAAGACAGTCAAGCATTTTAGTATTATTTCCCCTCTTGAATCCTAGATCCCTGTATCCCAGAGCCCTGTTTTTCCAAGGATGAGCATCACTATTTATCTCTTTCCCATTTAGTCCATGCAAACCTGTCTCAGTGATCCCCTATATACCTTGTTCTTCCACCCTTCCCCCACATTCTTTTAGTCCAGCAAATTCTTAAGCAACTCGCAGTTTGGTGAGCACGTCCCAGCCCCTTGGTGGCTGAAGGGCGCACTGCTGACTGGGATTTTTGCTTTTGCTTTCTCTGAAGCATTGGGGACAGAGTGGCAGGGAGGCCTGGACCATGGAGATCACAGAGCAGGCGCAGGAACAGCGAGCTGCTGGCATGCCCTTGCTGACCACTTGTGTGTGCTTATCCCCAGTGTGTCCATGGAGAGCTCTGTCACGGAGGCCCAGGGCGAGATGCTGCAGGTGCTCAAAGAGAAGATGCGGCTGGAGGGGCAGCTGGAGGCCCTGTCACTGGAGGCCAGCCAGGTAAGACACCGTGCTGGAGCTGTGTGCTGCATAAGTGACCTTCTGGGTGATGATGGCCACAGGCCTGCTGTCCACCTCAGTAAAGCAGGTAACACAACCAGACAAGTCACATACGGTCCTGGTGTGGCACTACAGGATGGTCAGTGCTTCAGACTCAGCAGCAGCTCCTCAAAAACCTACACTGGGTTCCTGTGAGTCAGGACCGACCCGCCCCGAAAGCATTTCACAACAATAGCAACAGAGTACCAAACAGTTATGTTGGCACAGTGTTGAAGTCTGTTAAGTGTGCAGTAGCATGAAGAAAAGATGAGAATGATCAAAATGCACACAAAGACGTAAAGTGAGCACATGCGCTTGGAAAAATGGCACCAGTGAGATTTGCTTAATGCATGGTTGCCACAAAACTTACGTTAAAAAATAAACAGCATTAGCAAAATCCCATCTGTGGGCACAATGAAATGAATCCCATCTGTGGCCTGTACATCGTCTGAAGTCGGCTTGGCCTGTTGACATGATGTGGCCAGGCCCCCCTTGTGTTCCTTGTGGGCACTCCCTGAAAGCCTCCAAGTTGTGCGATGAGACAGCTGCCAACCCTGGTGATACAGCCTTTCCTGGCACGGGCAGATCTTACCTTTGCTAACATGTGGGTTCTACTTTTTTCTGAGGCTTATATGAAGGGACTTCAAAAAATTTATGGAAAAGTGAAATTCAAAGATAATAGAACGTTTCCGTGTACTTTTTGAAGCTCCCTTGTACTGTTCTGGTATTCTTTGTCTGTTGTGTTTTTGTGTCTTTGAGCTTTGCTCTCCCATGTTCCCGTGTTGTGTGAATACATTCTCATCTCTTCCTGGGTGATGCTGAGCTCTGTCATGGCTGTGCCCAGACTTGAGTGAACGCATTCTCAGCCCATTGGGGAGTTGTCTGTGAGACTGCTCTGTGGGAGGCTGGATGACTTGTTCTCATGTCAGGTTTGCCTTTTGGGTCTTTGTTTCACTGGCTGTCTCACCGGCCAGTCCTAACCCACCGGGAGGCCTGATTCTTGTGGAAGTCACTGCATGTTGGGGTTGTTTCAGGCCCTGAAGGAGAAGGCGGAGCTGCAGGCACAGCTGGCTGCCCTGAACACCAGGCTGCAGGCACAGCTTGAGCACAGCCACGACAGCCAGCAGAGACAGGACTCACTCAGCTGCGAAGTGGACACCCTGAAGCAGTCCTGCTGGGACCTGGAGCGTGCCATGACTGAGCTGCAGAGCATGCTGGAAGCCAAAAACGCCAGCCTGGCATCCTCCAACAACGACTTGCAGGTGGCTGAGGGGCAGTACCAGAGGCTCGTGGCTAAAGTGGAAGACATGCAGAAGAGCATGCTCAGTAAGGACAACACAGGTGAGTCTGCAAGCCAACCCCCTGCCTTTTCCGGTCAATCTAGGGTTCGTCTGAGAACGATCTGCTGTCATCCTGACACGGCTGTGGGTTCTGTCCTACTTTATAGGGGACCCACAAGATGCCTGTGTTTGTAACTCAATTACACATCCTGTTGGAAGTCACTGATCTGATTTTACGTGCGCGGTAAGGGGGCGATTTGGCTCCTGGAGGGGGTCTGTGGTCCCTCCACAGTCAGTAGTTCCCCTCCTGCACTGGTATTAGGGGAGGAGGGCTGCCTCCTCCTCCTGAGTCTCAGACTCTGTTTCAAAGGCTTACACGAGGCCTGAGAATGCTGTTTAGGGATCTTCTCCCATCTCAGGCCTGGCCTCTAGTCTAGCTGGGTTAGCACCCTGCCTGGAGTCACAAAGAACTCTGTAGTTGCTGGTGACTGGGCACGAGAGGTGCAGACACACATGAAGCCTGGCAGGACTGACTGCACATGAGGCCAGGGCGGGCATCACCCCTTCCTGAGGGCTGACTGTGTATCCTAGCCCAGAGGGGTCTGTACTGCTGTACACCCTGAGTCTGCACTGCCATCCCCTCCTCAGCCTCGCTGGGACTCACCCGTATCTGTGCTGTCTCCAGTAACTCCAGGCTCACTCCCATTCTAGTACAGTGATGGCTCCAGGCCACTCTCAGAAATGTGCCTCAGAAGGAGCAGGCTTGCTCTCACATGAACGCAGACAACTTCTCCCTTCCTCTGAGCTCAGTCAGGCCATGTGGCTTCACTGACCCGGTACTGAGAAGAGGTTATCAGAGGCTGGGATCCCACAGACAGTCGACGTGCTGGATCCAGAACAGAGATGGTGCCTTCTTCTAGAGAAGAGCTGGCCCACAAAGGGCATCTTGTTGATGCTGTTTGAACAAAGACAGGAGGGAGGGGCAGTGAGGGGAAGTGGAAGCCCCTGGCGTATAGGAGGCAGGTCCTTTATCATGAGTCTGTGCAGAGTCAGGGCACGAGGCACTGAAAAGGACTTGGTGGGCAGAGTGCACGTGGCTGTGATGCCACAGAAGAGCCAATTCAGAAATGAAACTGTAAGCCATTTGTATCTCTACTAACTTCTTAGTCGGAGCATTTACGATGTCCAGTCCATCAACTAAGGCACTGTCCAGGCAGTCCTGACACTGGGAGGGCCTGGCCTCATGTCTTCAGCACTGTGGGCCGCTCACACACTCAGGTAGACAGGGCAGGGAGTGGATGGCCTTTGGATCTCTGCCTGAGGACTTCGTTCAGGCCTGCACCCCACTGGACACTTACACTAAGTTTCTGAGCAATATATTTAGGATGGATGATGCTTCCTTATGCACTGGGTCCAGTGCTAATTTAAGCATATTTTCTAGTTGTGACTTCCTGTCTCCTCTCCTCTCCTCTCCCCCCGGCAGTCAGTGAACAGGCTGGTCTGAGGTGGCCTGGCCACAGCACAGATGCCAATGCTGGCTCTGCCGCTGGCTGATTGACATGGTCAGGCCCACAAGGAGGGGAGCAGCAGCATCTGAGTCTTTACCAGCACGCGACTTGTCCTCCCCAGAGAGCCATCTGGGGTTAGAGCTGCGTCTTAGCTGACTGCTTCATTTTCAGTGCACGACCTGAGACGGCAGATGATGGCCCTGCAGAGCCAGCTGCAACAGGTGCAGGTGGAGCGCACGACGCTGACCAGTAAGCTGAGGGCGTCGCAGGCCGAGATTGCGTCCCTGCAGAGCGTCCGGCAGTGGTACCAGCAGCAGCTTGCGCTCGCACAGGAGGCCCGGGTCAGGCTGCAAGGCGAGATGGCCCACATACAGGTGCAGGCGCGCGGGTACGGGGCTAATCTGGTCTCAGTGTAGAGTAGGCTTTTTCTAAATTCCACAGAAAAATTACTCCCCTCCTGCCCACAAGCCTCCCCGGTCACCCATCCTCAGACTCAGCTTGTGTTGAGCCTTCATTCCTAGTGCTAACTTCCCGTCTTTGGAATATCCCATTGGCCCTAAGGGGCGCACCCATCATTTGGCCTCATCTGTCTCCTGTGTGCAGTCCATAGCCCAGCCCCGGCTGTGAGTGGACACGCCTGGCTCTCCCCATGTGAACAGTGTGTCCGAGTCCTGTAGGAGACAGTCTTCTATTCTCTGTTGTCACTTTGTTGTCTGAACCGTCCTGTCCCACTGCACCTTGGCGCTCATCTGTGAGACAGGAGACTATCCACGTCCTCAGGAAAGTGTCCTCCTGGGCACCTGTGGACTTGGGGCTCTTGAGGGCACCAAGGCTGTCTGCATGAGCCACCTCAGTCTCTAAGCAGCAGGTGTTAGAGATGCTCACACGGAGAGGTAGCTGCTGAAAGGAGCCCCATTTTGAGTCAGAGCGCCTCGTGAATGGTGGACAAGCCTGTGTTTGCTTCGTCTACATTTGAATTTACCAGTGGGCTTTGGTGTATCCCTATTTTTGTTGCTCCCTCCCAAATAAAATATTGTAGGTTTATTTGAAATGTCATTTCCCAAGTTGAGAAATAACTGTAGTTTCATGATTAAAAAATGTTTGTAAATTTACTCTGTTGCATAGGAAGCCAAAGGACCATGCAGAAAAGCATTTGTTCTCCTTAAAATATTCTTGCAAATAACTTGTGATGCAAGTGGGTGACTTTGGAGTGAGTGCATTTATCTGAGCATCAACTATTTGCCCAGTTCAACCAGGTTTCTGTGTCTTCACATTTGTCACTATGTAATTTAGAAGTCAGAAATGGAGGAAGAGTCTGTGAGCAAGAGTTTGGGAACTTCAGCTGCTTTTTAAAAATCCTTTTGGCCCCAGGATTCAGTACTCAGTAGCTCAGCTTTCTAACATGTGTTGTGACCCTGAGTGTCTCCCTTGCTCCCAGTAACAGGAACTGGCTGTATGAGGTGGGAGGGTGCAGGAATCGTGATGCTTCCATTGCTGGGGACAACCCAAGGCCTGGGAGCCACAGTTGGATGCAGTCGTGGTCATAGAGGACCCAGCCTGCTCTCCGTCTCTGTTTTCATTTCGTCTCTGTACTGTTCACTACTCCTCAGGGGGCCCGAGGGTCAGAGGCCTGCTGGGTGGGGAGATGACGGTATTCAGGCTGCTGGCCCTCTCCTGTAGGGCTCAAACGCGCCTCCTCATGGAGCTACCATGCAGCTGATACAGCTGCAGAGTCTGGGGTGTGACCCCCGGAGCAGTGAGGTCTTGTGACGACAGACCCAGAGTCTGGAGTGTGACCCCCGGAGCAGTGAGGTCTTGTACAAGCTCAGAGTCTGGGGTGTGACCCCTGGAGCAGTGAGGCCCTGTGATGACAGACCCAGAGTCTGGGGTGTGACCCCCGGAGCAGTGAGTTCTTGTGACGACAGGCCCAAGACAGGTTGATCTCCACGTGTCTTAAACGTGGTGACTTTCTTTGTTGCCCTTTTCCTGGAAGGTTGGACAGATGACCCAGGCGGGCCTCCTGGAGCACCTGAAACTGGAGAACGTGTCATTGTCCCACCAGCTGACCGAGACGCAGCACAGGTCCATCAAGGAGAAGGAACGCATCGCCGTTCAGCTGCAGAGCATCGAGGTGAGAGCGTTGTGGATACTTGGACACGTTCTACAAATGCCGTCTGCTCACCACATGTGGGCACTTACCACTCTGCAACACCTCACGCTCACCAGACTCACAGCCCACCTGGGAGCGAATCACTGAGCTCTTGGTAGTCTCAGGACCGGTGTGCCTTCTCATGCCTTCTCATAGCACCTGCCATATCCACCTTCAGCGCCTGCGTTCTTCCATATCCCTATCAGCAAATGCTGCCTGTCACTACCAGCTCTGGGATGCTGCCTGGGGTCTGTGACATAGCACTGGCTGGTGGCTCTGCTGTCGCTGTGTTTAGTCTGTGTACAGAATTCGGAGTGTCAGGAGAGCTCTCCGTTCCCCTGGCGTCTCCTCTTCTCTGTAAGTTGATAGACGTGGCCTGACTTGGGGTAGCTGTTGCTGAAGTCTGACTGCAGCCCCGTGATCTGTCCCATCGCCCAATGACCTTGGGTGTCACTGCTCACACATCCAGGCCTCCCCTTACACAGTGACTGGGCACACAGCCTCCTGGTGAGTGGGGGCAATCCTGGCACCAGCGCTGCTACTTTCTGTCCTTGGATGGTCAGCAGCTGAAGCATGCACGTGGTTGCACTGGACTGCAGGGCAGGCCCTGCGCAGGCCCACTTCTCTGCACTTAGATGTGTTTTCTTGTCCATCTCACGGTTACAGGCTCCATTGTACGAAGCACCGAGCAAGGCCTTCAAACTCTGCTCCTTGTCACTCTGTCCAGCCAACTCGGGGTTAGCACACATAGCCCTGGATGGAGGAGCCGCCCAGCTGACCGGGAGAGGGGCCCTGGTTGGCTGCTGGGGGTACATAAGCCTTCTTGCTTTTAAAAACATGCTTTGTGTTCTGGGCCCAGGCTGACATGTTGGACCAGGAAGCTGCTTTTGTTCAGATTCAAGAAGCCAAGACGATGGTAGAGGAGGATCTGCAGAGGCGGCTGGAAGAATCTGAGGGTGAGAAGGAGCGTCTGCAGAAGATGGCGGACTCAGCAGTGTCCTTGGAGCAGAAATTGGAGCAGGTAAACAGGGAGCTGGTCTTAGACATGGCGTTCCTGTGAAGGCAGCCCATCTGAGCCCTGCTTCACAGGTCTAGGATTCCATACTAGGACTGCACTGGGCGCTTGCTTAGTCTTCTCATGCACAGTTAGGGCAGAGGTCCGGGCCTTTTAGTGACCATCACATCAGTCCCTCTGTTGCCCCTGCACACAGCCATCCAGCCATCTGTCCCGTCTGTCTGCTCTGTAAGTGCAAGGTACTTATTTCCACTGGGAGTCATCTAAACTGGATTTTTGTATGACAGAAAAAACCCAGCTTCCCCCAAGTGTTCATCAGTTTTACTTCAAAACTCACCAAAGGTGAAAATACACGTGTACTTGGGAGCAGCCACATCTTGTTCTTTTCCAGGTAAAGGTGGCTTTGCAGCAGCGGGAACAGCAGCTGGAGACCCTACAGCAGGATCAGCTCAGCCTGATGAAGCAGCTCAGCGCGGCTCACGAGGCTCTGCAGGCCAGAGAGCAGAACCTGGAGCGTCTGCAACTACAGCATGAGGAGGTGCAGGCCCGGCTGGAGGAGCTTCAGGGGGAGGCGGCCACCAAGGACGATACCATCCGCTTCCTGCAGAACGAGAGGATCGTCCTGGAGGTGGCTCTGCAGGCGGCCAGGAGCAGCGAGGAGGAGTTGGACAGGGGAGCGAAGCGCCTGGAAGAGGGCGCCGAGGAGACGTCACAGATTCTTGAGCAGCTGAGACAAGACTTGGCCGTGAAGTCCAGCCAGGTAACATGGTCTGCTGCTACCTTTTGAAGGCTCTGTGCAAGTCACCTGGATGGGTCTTTGGGCCACGACTCTGGGTCCAGGTAAGGGGTCCTATCCTAGACTTGCCTGGGACTCTAGCCTGCACTCACAGTGGGAGAAACTGAGTTTTGTTTGAGGCTTTTGAAAGAAATCTATTGGAAACACAGATGACTTAGTTCTTATGATCTCTGAGCATGTGTGAACTTCGGCGTTCAATGTCTATGTGCCTGACTGCGTGTGGCACCCAACACTCCACACACCTGCTTGTCAAAATGGTCCCATCATCGCGCAGACATGTGTGAGCTGGAAGGGGAGGATGGAGCTGGTCTGTGATCCCACAGGGGGTCACAGCTGGGGACGCTGTGTAGTGACATGACACGGTTTTGATGTGAGCAGACGTGTTAAAAAGACAGAATGAAAAAGCTAAAGGATGATGTGGAAGGAAATAGAATTAGTACCAGACAGTAATTGTAATCTCAAATTCCATCATACAAACATCAACGACAAGAGGAAATCTGTGTATTTTCCTTTGAGAAAGTCAAATAAAGGAGAAAGTCTCTTGTCAAACACTGACCCAAACTTATATTCTGGGCGCCATGCGCTCAGCAAATCATAGCGGATCCAGCACCCCCTAACCAACCCACTACCAACAAGCTCCTCTGTGGGGCTGGAGGCCTGCTGAGGCGCTGCATTCTTAGCAGACCACCCACCTGTCTACTGCAGAGCACCGGGTGGTTTCAGCCACTGCCCTTTCTGTGACCACCTGAGAACTAATCACTGATCAGACTCAGCCACAAAGATGTGAAGTGGACTGGCCATCTGTAGCCCAGGGCCTAGCCCAACCCCTGCCTTTGTAACTAGTTTTATTGGCACACAGGTGGGCTTGTTCATGACTGAGTGGCTGAGACTGTTTGTACCTCAGTAGCAGGGGTGAGACACTGCCACATAGTGTGGCTGGCAAAGCCAAAGAAGTTTACAGTCTAAACCTTTCCAGAAAGTTCTGCCAACTCCATATCAGGAGCTTCCCCTGCCCCATCCTCTTGCCTCCTATCCCCTTGTCTTAATTCTTTTAAGTGGTAAGGAAGGGAGAGGCAAGTGACCTCTGCCGTGACAGCCAGTCTCCGAACCCACGGTTCACCCCAACAGTTACAGCTGTGCTGGCTCTTGGGAACTGTTTCTGGGCCCTTCCTTCCAGAGCTGTCTGGAGTAACCCTGTGCACACGTGTCTCCCACAGGTGGAGCACCTGCAGCAGGAAACAGCCACTCTGAAGAGACAGACACAGAAAGTAAAGGAACAGTTTCTTCAGCAAAAGGTAAAAATGTTGGGTTTCCTCATGTGAAACGCACATATGAAACAGTCCTTTTGGGGTATAATTGCTCCAGTAGAAGAAAACTGAGCAAGAAAAATGCCACCTTTAGAACCTGTCCTAGTTATTTTGAAGGTACTTCACTAAGAAGATGTGCACTCTTAGCCCCATTTCACTGCCTCTCAAGCCGGGAGCATCTTCCTCACTGCTGCCCTGGCAGGGACTTGCATGGGCTTCCCCAAGGGGGCCATCCCCCAGGTGACTCCATGTGGAACAGGCTGCTTCCAGGGTCTCTGAAAAACTTCCAAGTTGTGACTTTCACAAGAAAGCTGGACTTAGGTGTGGCTTCAGGGGTCTTACAGGATCTGCGAAAGAGGACCGTCCCAGAGCAGTCGAGCAATCTGTATTTTTTTACTGAGATTCAGGCAAGAGGGTTACCCCTGAAGCCAGGCAACTGAAGGCAGAAGGAATTGCCAAATTCCTTGGACAGAGGAAGCATTGGTACGGTCGCTTGCTGCCCTGTTCCAGACCCTGATGAGGGTGTGACGGCGTTGATGATGGCAGCTCTCATGACACATAGTGTGAGATGTCTTCTTGGGGTTTTACACTTGATGAAATGTGGAAGGTTCCTTTAGCTCAGAGTTCATGTTCTTTGTCAGTGTGTTGTGAAATGGCTCAATCTGGTTTCAGTTAGGGTTCCTGAGAGCAGCCCACCCCCAGCTGTCACTCATGTGTTTGGTGACAGGTGATGGTGGAAGCTTACCGCCGGGATGCCACCTCCAAAGACCAGCTCATCAGTGAGCTGAAGGCCACCAAGAAGAGGCTGGACTCAGAGCTGAGAGAGCTGAGGCAAGAGCTGGTCAAGCTTCAGGGAGAGAAGAAGTCAGTGGAGGTGGAGCACTCGAGGCTGCAGAGAGAGGTGTCCCAGGTGCACCAGCAGATGGCCGACCTGGAGGGACACCTGCAGTTGGTGCAGAAGGAGCGTGATGACATGGAGATTCAATTGCAGGTCAGGAGTGGGAGGGGGAGCACTGTGAGTGAGCTGGGCTCTTGGTGAGGGCAGCTACTGGTGGGAGTGTGAGCATTTGGTTTGGGGAGGCCAGCTTCTCAGGGGTTGGTACATTCACAGTGTGTGAGGGCCACAGTGAAGAGAAGACGCATCCACTCGGATGTTCAGCTCTGGAGACATGTTGCCGAGCTGCTCAGAACCTACGGAGTGTGAAGGAGCAGTCAGTGCAGGGCCCGACACACGTGACCTCTGTGTGGTCATGGCAGGGGCAGCTTCCTCTACGCTGCCCCACAGAGGGCACCTCTCATGCTGGCCCTTCTCTCTTCTCTGAAGTCGCTGCAGTTTGATAAAGAGCAGATGATCGTTCTAACAGAGGCCAACGAGGTGTTAAAGAAACAAATTGAGGAGCTGCAACAAGAAGCCAAGACGTGAGTCCACAGGAGGGGTGGGAGTGGTGCTATGTGGTCAGTGGGCCTTGTCCTCCTGGGTGTGTCTACAGGAGAGGCCCACCTGGGAGACCTCTTGACAACAGTGCCTACCCCGGGAGCACACCATCAGTATGGTGCCTGTACACCGGCGGTGCAGCAGTAGAACGTGCCCAGGAACTTAGATTACAAATGAAAGCGAGACTATAGGCTCCACAGAATAACCCTGCGTTCCGCATCTGATTCGCTAAAGCCTCTTTCTAACCAAAGCCCCTGTTGTAATCTTCAACTGCATGTCTCTACCCGCCTCCATCTTGGTTCCCTAACCAGTTAACCCTTTGGTGCATGTTCAGGGTGAACCCCCACCACGTGCACACATGCGCACACACGTGTATTTCTGAGGACTTTCTTACCCACACAGCATCCCCACACTGTACTGTTTTTACCAGCCAGTGTCTCATGTCTCATGAATGGGCCTGACCTCTCTGGCTTACTGCTCAGAACCAACAAGAATGTTGGAAAGATTTTGTGTGCTAGGAGAGGGGCTATTGGTCAGTCTTCTTATAAATCCTGTAAGGTGTTTTAGAAAAGGAGCACGGGCCTGAGGGTGGTGAGTGGCTAAAGTGGACTGAGACCAGGACCCCACCACACGTGTGTGCTGTGCACACCTCAGCCGGAACTCAGGGGAGTCCGAGGGGGCCAAGTATCTCTTCCAGGCCCCTCGACTGGAGAGGGACAGTGGGGTGGGCATGGGTAACCCTGAGCGCACACAGGGTGAGGATTGCAGTAAAGGTTTGTTTCTCTTGCGGGGGGTCCAAGGGCCATCACGGAGCAGAAGCAGAGGATGAAGTGTCTGGGTTCCGACCTCACCAGTGCCCAGAAGGAGATGAGGGCCAAGCACAAGGCCTATGAGAATGCTGTGGGCATCCTCAGCCGCCGCCTGCAGGAGGCCCTCACTGCCAAGGAGTCTGCGGAGGCCAAGCTGGCCGAGCTTCAGACCCGGGGTGCCAATGCTGGTGACAGCAGCCTGATCTTAAATGTAGGTGCCTGAGTGGATGTTACCTGTCTTCTGACTGTGCATTTCACTTCTGCTCTGCACTTGGAACCCTTCCACTCAGGTTTCAGTGACGTGTTTCCCTCATGAATGGCTTGTTTTGTCTCCTGTCTCTTTAAGCATTTAAGAGCAGGAAGACACTGCACATCAGAACAAGGCTCTCCCACTTACTTGATACAGTGTTGAGGGGATAGAATTGACTCTGTGTCCTTTTTCCTTTCTGCTTTTAAAGATGTCTGACTTTCATTCTTTGGTGTCGGCAGTAACAGTGATGGAGTGTCAGGTGCCACACAGACTCTGTCACTTCCTGGCCACACAGGCGTGTTAACCAGCAGCTGTGGCAGCTGAGTAAGAGAATGGGCTTGAGAGCCTGAGTTGTGGGTTCAGATTTCAGTACCACCACTTGTCAGGCGATGATGGCCTTTAAAAACTTCAGTTACTGAAGGGTTTTGTTCCTCAGTGAAATGAGATGGAGCTGTGGTACGTAATAGACTGAGCACGTTGGGATGGTTAAATGAGGTGATACACGTGAAGTGCTTACAACAGAGCCTCTTACCATCAGTGGTGTAGATGTGTGGTGTGGGTGAGTGTGTGTCTGTGTTTTATAGTACTTTGAATACTCCTTATTTGCCATAAGTGTTCACTTTTATCGACATATCAAAAATGTTCTATGTATTCAAAGCATTTAACCAAAACTCATTTGTTCTGATACTTCTGCGTGTCTGCTATGGTTATTTTAAGTCCTTTAAGGAAAAGGGACATGTTACAGGCCTGTGTCCAGATAACCACTGGCACATTACCCCCTGGCCTCCATGTGGTCAGGGCTGAGAGGACATGTGGGTTACCGTGGCTGCCCGTCCTGTGGTGTCCATAGTGAAGCGCCTTCACTTCTCGTGGTTAGGAGAGAATCCAGGCCCTGGAGGAAGAGGTGCAGACTGTTAGCTACCGTAAGATGATGCTAGAGAAGGAGCTGCAGGAAGTCATTGCAATGACCAGCCAGGACCTGGAGGAGCGGCGAGAGAAGGTGATGGAACTTGAAGACGAGGTAACTGTCCACCTCTGTTCAGGACCGGGAACCCCACGAAAGTGACTGTGGGCCCTGGTACAAGGACAGGCACAGAAAGGAGCAGAGCTGTGCATCTTGTCCACCTTCGGACTGCGCCTCTGGTTTTCTGTGATGAGCAGTCTAGTAAGAACAGCTGTTTTCACTGGCCTCCCCAATACAGTGGTAATTGGCATTCGCTGTGGGGGCCCTTTGCTCAGTTAAGAGTGCTTTGGTTGCAAATAACCAGAAGTCTTCTCAAACTGACTGACGAGTTCAGGTGGTCAGGATGCAACACCTCAGTGATGTCACCAAAGACCCTGGACCCCTGCCCTTCTCCCTTCATCCTAAGCCCAGGCCTCAGTGCATTCTGAGGAGACTTGGAGGTGGTTCTTCTGAAGCCTGTGGTTCGTAAGACAGAATCGAGCCATTGGTCTCAGGGGAGAGAAGCACCAACAATGGTGGCTGCAGGCTGTAGTCCTTTCGAGTCAAAGAGCAAAGGCCTGCTACATGCAAGTGAGGTGTGGGCCCTTGAGATTGGCTAAGTTGACATGTGTGCTAACTGTGAACAACCAAAATCACTCCAATTGTTTCAGCTTCAAGAATCCAGAGGCTTTCGGAGGAAGATCAAGCACCTGGAAGCATCAAACCAGAAGTTGGCTCTGGAATTGGAGCATGAGAAGGGGAAGCTCACAGGTCTTGGACAGTCCAATGCCGCCCTGAGGGAGCACAACAGTGTCTTAGAGACAGCCTTAGCCAAGAGGGAGGCGGATCTGGTCCAGCTGAACCTGCAGGTAGTTAGACTCGTCCCTAAAACGGAGCTGGAATGACTTTGGGCCAAGTAGCATTCTTAATTCTTAATGCCTTACCTGTGTTGTTTAGTTGTTATTAAGTGCTGTTGAGTTGGGTTTCCATACATAGTAACCCTGTATAGGGTTCCTGAGAAGCAGTTGGTGGATTTTAACCGCCACCTTGTGGCTCAAATAGACCTTGCGATCCAGTGCTTATCCTACAGTGC